AAATCTGTTTGAGATGTCTAGAAAAAACAATTTTAAAGGTGCATGTTAGAACAAAATTTTGAATTTTTTTCATGTGTTGTTTTGGCAGAGTTCTAAAATTGTCAAAAAATGAGGATCTTTAAGATCTAGTTTCGTGCTTCATAAGAAAAAACTAAAAAAATTAGTCTAAGATAAACTTAGATTCATCCCTTAACAATATTCTAACCCAAGAAAAAAAATATATCTTCAAAAATAAGCTCGTAAAACGTTATCAGCTGTACCTCTAAAAGCGCAAATTTGAACACCGTTAAGTGGCGCCTCCAGCGGTAAAATGCATTTCGTTTATATAGGGAGTGGCTAAATTTTGCACGGACTTAGGAACATTTTATAATATATTTTTTATATAGTAAGGGGAATCTAACGCTCGAGTTTTGACACAAATGTAGAGAGTCGGCTGATAACAGATTATATCATTATTTTTCAATACTTAAAAAAATATTTTTGAGATGTCTAGGAAAAACAATTGTATAATGGTTTGTCATAGAAAAACATTTTGAATTTTTTAAGGTATTTTTTTTGCGGAGTTTTAAAAATGTCAATATGACGACCTAATTAATTTCTTGTTTCATAGGCAAAAAAAAATTCTAAGATAAACTTAGAATCATCCTTTAAGAATATTGTAATCCAAGAAAAAAAAAATTACCACGTAATTTTTATCCGCTTACAAAACGTTTTATTTATACACGAAATATCGTTGAAGTCTGTCTGTTTTATTAACTTTGTCTTCCTCCTTAAACCTCCAGAAGCACCAGGCATATTTTTCGGGAAAAACCGTCTTTTAAGATTGTTTTGGATTAGTACCAACTACCTAAGTTTAATAAGTTATAACGGACTATTTGCCGTTCTAATGGATTTTTTTATTACCCTTGATTGGGGCTTATTCTAGTATTTTGAAAGATTGCGAAAAAACTAGAGCTGTTCCACTTTGGGTCTTTACTATGAGTAGAAATATACAGGATGATACAAAAAAATATGTTTATTGTAAATAATAAATTCAATGTGTTCGAGACTTTCTCGAACACTAGGGCTAATTTTAACCAATTTTTTTACAGATTTGACCCCTGTGAAATTTATAGGCCCATAAACTTGTTTAATTTTTCACTTTAAAATGTTGCATTATATACACACACCTACTAGGTTTTTAAAAATTACAAAAAACGAAAACTCTTACATTTTAAGGATATAGGCAAAAATCACACGTTGTGGTATACATAGTTTAAAATATACATAATTTTTGAAATTATTTACAAAAATGCAAAGAAACAAAGAAATAAAAGAAAACATACTTTAAAAGCAAAAAAAGCCTAAAACAAAAAACAAGATATAGTGGTAAATTAATAAAGCAACTCATTATATCACAAATTAAAATACATTATCGTAAAAGGTTTTCTAAAATAGGTAAACACTTAAAACTTAAAGTAGATGCTACCAAAATGGTCCCTATTTTTTTTTCCGCTTTTTTTATTGATGGCTTCTAAGATATACTCAGGATCTTTTATGGGCATGTTCCTAGCCTTTCGAGAATCGATTATTTCGGGAATCATACAATCGTAGTAAAAAGATCGTAGAAAAAGTGATTTACAGCTGGTTGTTGTTCTTTTCTTGCAAACAACCCCAAAGAGCGATGCTGTAAGTCTCTTTCTTCTCTCAATATACCATAAATCCGAGGCATGCTGGCCTCTGGTTAATTCCTCTAGTTCATCTGCTTCCAGGTCAAAATACCCTATGTTGAATTTTTTTAAATTTTTTTTGTCAAGTAATAAAAAATTTTGTGGTCCAAAATTTACAATTTTTTTCCTAAAATACTCCAAGTCTCTTCGGAGATACTAGAAGCTTATAAATATTTTTTTTATAACTTTTATACTCTATTGAACCGCTCTCCAACATATTTTGGTCATATTTCAAATAATATGGGCCCAGGAATGGTTTATCTGCACTCATGTCCTGGAGAGGTCTTCTTCTTTAAAAAAAAAATCCTTACAAACTACAATCTTCCAGGAAATACTGGAAGATGATCCTAGTAGAAGACCAGTTTTGTAAGCAAATTATGGATCAACTAGACACGAACAACATTCTAGTAGAAAACATTGTGTTCTCTGATGAATCTACGTTTATGTTAAATAGTAAGGTAAACCGACAAAATTGTCGATATTGGGCGGATGAGAATCCACGATGAATGAGGGAAGGCCATTCTCAATGTCCATAAAAAGTGAATTTTTGGGCAGGGATTGCAAGAAGAATTAGTGCCGCAATTGGCTAATTGGTTTTCTAACCCTGTACAGGGTTTTTCATTATAATTTGACCGCTATTTATTTTCATTATTATTGCAAACACAAAAAAAAGTTTTAAGTAAAAGCTATGTTGTTCTATCTGTACCGACTAAAAATGTAATAACAGGCTGAATTGTATATACAGGACGACTCCAACAAAATATAATTTAATTTTTTTAATGGGACACCCTATATATATTTGTAATTTTAAGTAGATTTGCATTTCCTGATTACAAATATATAATATTTTAATTATTTAGTGACTTATTGCATAGATGGCTATGAAAATTATGTTTCCAAGTGAAACAGTTGTTTGTTTATTAAAAGTTGTCAATTGATTACTTGTAATGGGTTATACTGTGGGCGAAAAAGTTGAGATAAAACAAAAAAGCTTTTACTTGAAACTTTTTTTGAGTTCACAAGAATTATGAAAATAAGTAGTGGTCAAAATATAATGAAAAACCCTGTACATGCTAATGTCCCGAATAGAGACATTTGGTTTCAACAGGTTGGTGCACCTCTCCATTTCGCAAGACCTGTTCGTGATTATATCGATGCTGTATACCAGGCAAGTGGATAGGTAGAAGGGGACCTATTAAATAGCCACCGAGATCCGTAGGTCTCAATCCTTTGGACTTTTTTTAAAGCAAAGTTTTTAAGATCAAATCAGAAAATTTTGAGGAGCTAAAAGCACGAATAAGAAATGAGTGTAGATTAATTTTGCCCCAAGTCATTAGAAATGTTCAAAACGAATTTCGATTGCGTTTAGAATATTGTGAAATAGTCAATGGACAACATTAGGAGCATTTACTTAATTGAAATTATTAAATTCAATAGATTTGATTACTTATTTTTCATAAATGTGTTACTTTTTATAATCTTGTAATTGGTAAGGAATAAATAATTTGATATTTGGGAGTTATGTACAACTTTACAATCCTATAAAAATAGCTATTAAAATGACAGTGTTGCCATTTAATAAAAATCAACGATGACGTCATATCTCTAAAATTGGGACATCCTGTATACATTATTATTGTATTTAAAAAATCACGATTGGAGATACTAATCGACGGGCCCGAGCATTTGTCAAAAAAAACTCAGTATTTGAACTGTTGAATTTATTCCAAATTACAGATACTCTCTGTATAACTCAACACAGAGAATCATAACAATATTTACATAATAGGTAGGTATGTACCTATCTCTGAGCGAAGTCTAGTACTTACCTATCATAAAATGATTTTTCTCTTTAAAAATGTCTACTCTGCTATTTATAATAATAATAATAATAATAATAATAATAATAATAATAATAATAATAATAATAATAATAATAATAATAATAATAATAATAATAATAATAATAATAATAATAATAATAATATACTCTTCCTAATTCACCCCCTTACGAGTGAATCCCTGAAGCCGACTAAGCGACTTGTGTAGGGGAAGGGATGGATATTATTATTATTATTATTATTATTTGTCGTGGCGCTCAGAGGCGACTTTAAGATGATTGATGGTGCCATTTGAATTAGAGGCGAGGAAAACCCGGAACACCCCACCCACCATCATCGAAATGGTAACGCATGGCGATTTTTATAATCTGGATGACATATCAACAGAAATTACATTTCTGTTAATACGGCATACATCAAATCCTATAGAGAACCATGCAAATAAATTCACATGGTCTTCTGTAGGATTCGAAGCCCAGTGTCGCTCTACCACAACATTGCTCGCAAATGAATGAGAGGGCCGTAGACACCTACTCTACCGCCCCGATTATTTATAAATTAAAAAATAAGCATCGCAACAAGTGTAGTTGGTGACAACGTTCATTTTTGGTATACCTACAGGGAAAATCAAGGGACATGTCGTCAATATCACGAAGTGACGTAACTCGATTTTTACAAAAAGAGAGCGTTTTAAAGTTTTTTTTATAAAGTTACGTCTCTTCGTAAAATTATCAGATATACACGGTTAGATACGTGCTATTTTAATAAATGTAATGACTTGAGATACGCAATTTCGTGAAATTGTAAAGCAAACTTTTTTACATAATATGTGACTTATCTCAATTTTCAATTTTTCGAGTTACGTTACTTCGTGATATTGCCGACGTTCGGAATTAATATTAAACCTCTATTTTTGTAAATATATCTACAACCTCTCACACTTTTGCTTAGGTAATCTTCAGATCCAAAACTGGATTGACTTTTATTAATTGCAATTATTGCAATGAATGACGAAGTTCTTTACAATGATATATTAAGGCTGCCTGCACACTGATAAATCACACACCTCAAATTTTTCCTTAGATAATTTTCTGAAACCTTAATAATTATGAAAAATGGGTGGAACTTCACTTAATACTTATTTTGAGTAGGTTCTAGTTATTAATATTTTTCGGCTTTCCATTATTTTATTGATTCAACATGAAAGTGAATCCGTCTGATGTTTAGAATATAAAATATTTTATAACGGAAAATAAATCGGTACGCCCATGTATATCGAGTGGTTGACAATAAATCGGACGATGATGTTTTTGATAACATATACTTATTCGAACAAAATAATTCGACGGTTAATGTTCTCACACTGTAAAATGAATTTTCAAACCTTATTTTGGATATCTAGGTAGGTATATAACCTGAAAAAGTTTATGCATGCTAAATATTTACTTACCTGTGAAACGTTACCGACTGCACTTGAAATAACTTTCTTAAACACACAAAATATTTTGTTAGCTTTTAAAGCAATTAGGTACATAATTTACCTAAAATAAATTAAATACAAAAAGTCTTCAATTAAAATACTAAAAACACACATTTTAGCAACACAAAATTTCCATACTTTATCTTCTATTGAATACTTTAAGGAAACAGAAACCTTATCGTCTGTTATTTGTTTTCAACCGCCCAATACGCATAGGAGTACTGACTTTTTTTTACTTTATAAAATATTTTTTATTCTGAACATCATAAATACGTATATTAATTTTGGTTTTTGCAAAAATAGTAATGCAAAACCGAATAAAAAAATAAAATTAATTTAACTATTCTAATACGGTGTCGTCTATTAAACGCTTTCCAATCCGCTTTGCTAATGTCAAAGTGAAAACTACGGAGAGTTAGCATTATAGCGAGCAGGAAACGAATAATAGCAACGTAGGAATATCCCTCGTTGTGAACAGGAACCTCAAATAACATCGAATTACTGAAATGTTCCAAGATAAAAGCTGCACTCCAGAGAAATTGTATGAAATGCTCCAAAATTGGAGAAGATCATCAATAATTTCATGTAAGGATTAATAATCAAATTTCATTCAATTACATACACATTTTATACAATCAACAAGACTCAATCGACCAGTAATATAAAATTGCCTTCGCTGCCGCCTTCTAGCGAAGCAGCTCGACAGTACCGTATATTACCAGGTAGATACAAAAAGATCTACAACCTAAACTTTACTTTTAGGAACAAACTTGGCTAAGGTAAGAGTTAGAACCCGTCCAACGAGGCTGTAAATTGGAGAACAAGATCCTGGAGCCAACAACAACATTGTCTTTAGCATCAGAGAAACTGTTAAACTCAATTTTTTAAAAATGCAAGAAGTGGTAGGGTGCAAAATGTGGTTGCAGGAAGGTGGGGTTAAAATGTACCGCAATTGGTGGTCAATGCCGGAGCTAAGCGTGCCTCAACTCTTCGCCCATATTATAAGACTTCGATAATGAAATCTGTGAAGTTCAAAATGTTTCTGCGACAGCAGCAGATACCGATGGCGACGATGAAATAGAAATAAACGATTTGTAACAAGAAAAGCAGCGAGCGAGAGCGAATAAGAGAACTTCAACTGAACACTGGAACAAATTACTAAATACTATGTTTTTTTTTTCTATCTTAATTAACGTTTTGAATACACATGTTATGTATACATACAATTAAATATATTGTGTAATTATAATTACCTACTTAATTTTTATGTGCCCTTCAATAATAAACAGTAGCGAAATAGCGAAATTAACGTTACAAAGTGAATTAGACGCATCGCGTAGAGTTATCCGATTATTTGAGCGCGCGCTAACCTTTCTCCGCACTTCAGAAACGACTTTATTAGCTACAATTTTTAATTAGCTCAATAATGACAGTCACTACACAATAGCATATGCAGATGACCTGGTGATTTTGCAAACAGGGAATTTTAAGAGTATACTCTGCGAAAGAATGCAAGTAGCTCTAAAAATTATAGAAAAGTGGTGCAAGGACCATTCACTGTCTATCAATCCTAAGAAGACAGTCCTTTTCACAAGGAAAAGGTTGAAAATGGAATTAAAACCTCCAGAACTCCTAAACACAAAACTAAACTTTGCAACAGAGGTGAAGTACCTAGGTCTCACCTTTGACAGCAAGTTAACATGGAACTCGCATTTAGAAAACAGAGTTAAAAGAGCATACATTGCTTATAAACAATGCCGCCGAACCGTGGGGCGCACCTGGGGCTTCTCCCCCAGAGTCGTCGCATGGACTTACACGGCTATCGTAAGACCTATGCTAACATACGGTGCAGTTGTCTGGGTACCGACAACCCAAAAATTAACAGCTATCCGTAAACTAGAACAAATTCAAAGAACAGCATGTTTTAACAAAACAGGAGCCATGAAAACAACACCGACTAGAACCATGGAAGTCATTCTTAGTCTCACTCCCCTTGATATTTACATTAAGGAGGTTGCTCTGACGACAATGACACTCCTCCGCACGGTCGGAATAGAACTTGATGTAGGATATGGTGAGGCGAAACGTCACTTTTGGCAGGAGGCGCTGGATACGCTCCCACTGCTTCAAGCGAACATGGACTCCATCTCACCGAAATATATCTTTCATAAGCCATATAAAGTTACAATAGAATAAATAGAAGAGCCGGAAGTGGCAGGTACGATTCATATCTACACCGACGGTTCCAAAACAAAACAAGGCTCAGGATGTGGAATATACTTTAGATTCTTAAACCTTAACATAAAATGGGCTGTGAGCAATAATGCCAGTGTAGTTCAAACAGAGCTAACGGGGATTCTCATAGCAGCAAAAGAAATAACCAGAAACAATATTACTGGAAGGTGCATGCTCATCTATACAGATAACAGACAAGCACTACTCACCCTGAACAGACCACGAATTTATTCAGGGTTAGTACTAGAATGTCACGAAGCTTTGGCCGAAGTATCCATCAACAACGTGGTCACCTTAAGATGGATTAAAGGTCACGCCACATCCAAAGGTAACCGTCTTGCTGATTCACTAGCCAAGAAAGCAGCCAACCAAATGCTTTTTGCACCTGGCCCTTCTAGTGGCCTGACAAAATCGGCAGTGACAGACCTAATCAAAGAACATTCCCTTGTGAAATTTAAGGAAAGATGGGATGAAACAAGAAAATGTAGAGTTGCCAGGGAGCTCTTAAGTTATCCTGACAACACTGCAGCAAACAAATACTTGACTATGACCAAACAGAATCTGCGCCTAGTCACAGGCATTCTGACTGGTCATTGCCAAGTACGAAAGCATCTCCATATCATGGGGCTGTCAGATTCTGCACTCTGCAGAGGGTGCGAACAAGAAGATGATTGCTCGATCCTCTCATTTATTAGAAGATATGTGTTCAGCGAGTATCGGCTAACACCGGCCGATATAAGAGAAGCACCTCTTGGCGACGTTGTCAACTACATTAAATCTGTAGGCTGGCTCACGAGCTAGGAGGTGCCTATCTTCTCAGTAGGATGCACAATGGGCCTAATGAAGCCTAAGTGCCGTGGGGTAACCCACCCTCTACACGTTACAGATACAGATAGCTTTTAATGGCGTAAGATGCATAGTAGGGGAGACCGGGGAAATATCTCCACCCCGGTTAATACCGTCACATACGATAATAAGCATGCTACGTAAGCTCTTTTACTTTTCTTAACAGTAGACGCTCTGCGAACTGTACAAAAGGAAGTTTAGTTGAGTTTGGTGCCTCGAGTATGTCATATTTCACTTACAGCCAACGTTATTTACATATTTTGAAAAGTGATTCTTATTTATGTAGTCGGCAATTTTGGTGGTTAGTTGTTAAACATTTTAAATTCACTTTTCTAGTGATGAAAAGAGACTACTTTATATTATGGTTTGCAGTATATAGATTGATAGGATGTTAGTTTTGTTTTAAAATTTAAGGGGTGATTACATCGTTTGGGCCACCACCATCGTATGGCTAAAATCGCTATGGGGGCGGTATTGACGCAGTCCCAGAAGACAGCAAACAATTATATGCTATTTTTTCAGATGGTTAAAACATGCCGCTGAACAACTAGAGCAAACTGCTCCAAAAATGACCTAAAACAAGCAATCTAGCTGATTGAGGATGGAATGTAGATTAAAAAAGTAACAGCAATGCTTAATATTCCCAGGTCAACATTCAGAGATAGGTTGAATAATAAAAATAATAGACATTTTGGGAAGGAAACCTACGGTTTCTCGTCTACGTCTCGTCACGAAGAAGACATAGCTAACCATGAACTAATGTTAGCAAAAAAGTTTTACGGTACCACCATAACAGAACTCAGATGCCTACTTTATAGTTTGGCAGAAAGAAATCATATTTCTCATTTAAGTTTAATAAAACTACAAACATGGCAGGAGAAGATTGGGTCCAAGTTTTCTGTAAAAGAAGACCTAACATAAGTCTCAGGAGACCCAAAGCACTAAGTCTGAACAGATTTAAAGAATTTAGTACCAAAGAAGTCTAGTTATTTGTCTCTAATCTTGAGAGGAAAATGTAGACCCATACATTTCAAAATTTTTTAACATGGATGAAACCGGAATATCTTCTGTTCAAAAATCTTTAAATATATTATGACCCAAGGGACAAAAACAAGTTAAAAGTTGGAAGAGAGACAAGAACATTAACTGTGTGCTGTGCCATGAGTGCATAGGGAATATATATTCCACCTATGTTTATATAGCCTCGGAAACGAATGTGTCCTCTCCTAAAAGAGGATGGACTTTCTGGTACAATATACATGTGCTCAGATATTGGATGGACAACAAAGCAGCTTTTTAAGGATTGGTTGGAACATTTTAAAATCATATGAAACAAACAGTTCACTTATTTCTTTGGAGGCTTTTCAGTTTAGTAAGACGAATCCACGTTGTGTCGATTTCCTCTTACACGTCTCACAGGATACAGCCTTTAGATCTCGCTTTAGAGGTTTGAAACGTTGCCTTATAGACATGGCGGTATAACCCCGGTACCCTGGTATAATACTGCCAATCACCCTTGTTTTTAATTCAGAGAATGTTTCCCTAAACATCAACTGCAAACTTTTGAAATATTACTCATTGAAAGTAAACTTTTTTTACAATGATTCAGTAAAATTGTTTATAGATTTTTTTCCGTTGATTTTATGCCCTGTTTCGCTTAGGGGTGGCGGTATTTCCCCGGTCTCCCGTATGCGAAAGTTTTGACCTGTGATATCTCAAAATACTAAAGTCATTTTTATTGCCGGGGTTCTACCCAACTGTATAATGACAAAATAAAGGTCTGTACAAAAACCAGGGTAAATTATACCAGTTACACTACCTTATTTACCCTACTTTATTCCTCATTCCCTAGACACATGTCGAGTGTAATTCAGTCCTGCTAAATAGCTGGTGGAAAAAATATCTACCAGTGGACACCACATCGCCGACAGGAAGGTATAGTGGGTTTTACACCGGGCCAAAAGAAAGGTTTAGTGTCCCTTGGTGTAGCTCATACCTACACTAGTGGGACGAACAAAAGAACCTAATGCAATCTCAAAAGTGTACAAGAAATTACACAATATATTTGAAAACTAGTGTACCGTCCTTTTTTGTCTTCTTGGATCGTGCGAATATCTCAGACATC